GGTAATTTCCCTTTCTTGCTCCTAAAGTTTTTTTTTTCTCTTTATAAAAGAGGTTGCTCTCCTGGAAACAAGGCCAGCACACAGAAATTAGCATCAATGGGAAATCTAGTCTCACAGCCCCCTGCTGCAATCGGCGAACAAGCTCTGCACCGGTGGTAACCAGACCCCTTTATTGGAATGTCATCAGAAGATGGTCGGGACACAAACTGGTGTTTCTTTCACACTATGATGTTTTTTACAGACCATCTGAACACTTTAGGATCTGAGGAAAGAAGAGAACTCAGAGAAGCAGCTAAGAGATGTGCGGTGACTCTGGAGGAGATGCAGAAATCCACAGCTCAGGTTGACTAGACAATAAATTATCTCCACGTGTCTGGCCTAAAAGGAATTTGTATGGTGTGTGTGTGGAGGAATATGGAGTGAAGTTTGTTCCAGTATTGTTGCACAAAGCACATTTTATAAATAAAATTATTCTGAAAAAAACTTCTTCAAAAAAATTCTTCATAATGTTACACTTTTAAATAATCTTATTTCATTCACATTTTCATTTTTAAACCTTTACTTTGTTTTTTTTTTACAGATTGAGATACAAAAAGTGCATCCTTTTTTTAAATTGTGCAGCCAATAGTGTTTGCTAACGCCCCGCAGACCAATAGAAAGGCCTCTTCGCTCCTCGCGGCACAGGAAAGCCCGCCCCCAGTGAAGAGAAGAACGCAATTGGAGAAAAACGCGATTGAAAAAGACAGATTCCAACGTATGAAATCCTTAAAAAACGAAATCTACGAAAACACAAAGATTTATTTATCTGTTAAATGTTTATTGTTAAAAATGTTTTTTGAAAGGTTATTTTCTGAATTTTTTTTTTTTTTTCGGTCACAAAACGTGTTCTTTGCTTTGCAAAAATACTGGAACAAAACTCCATACATATATTTTTAAGCAAATGGCATCTGAATTTTTAAATAAAAAAAATCGATACAATAGAAAAAGTTGTTTTGGATGTAGGATCGTCATCAGCTCAGAGAAAAGGCGCACTTTTTGATCGCATAAACTTTCTAAGATTTCACAAAATAAAAGAATTTTGAAAAAAAAGGGAAAATATTTTGAAAAATTAAAACTGGGAAGAAAATTTGTTTTTCAGTGTTTAATTTCTGGATTGCTTTTTTTCCCTTTGTTTCCATTTAAAACATGAGTTCTCTGTTTGCAACAATAATGGAGCAAAGTTAACTCCGTAGGTAGGTGCATTTTATTCCAACCATGCGTACCAACCCCTGCAGAAGGAAGAACATCACCTGAGGATTGGACCACCTGCTGTGCTCAGCTTTCATGATTCAGAAAGATAAGCAGGTCATCTGCGCGTGTGACCTGCGAAAAATAAATTCACTAAATCAACCGTGTTTAAAAAACTCTGTTAAAACAAACTGTTAATTAAAAATAATTAAACTTTAAAGGTGGTCGTTTTATGATTGAAGGTACTTATTTTATTTAAAATATATTACTTTAATTTATTATTTATTTATTTGAAATTTCATTCATCCCAGATTTACTGAATTTTCTTTTTTGTAATTTAGAGACAGAAAAATACGCATATAATAGGTTCTGTATGACTATCAGCTGATTAGTCCAGGAAACTCGTGACGCATACCCCACATTTTATGGAAAACAATAAAAGTAATAATATATATTAATAATAATAAAAAATAATTTAACAACACGTACGATACTGAAACGAAAGGTGTGTTATTAAAACGGGTTAAAATTAGGGAAGAATCATTAAGAGGATTCAGACGGTTAACTAAAATAAATTAGAAAATTTTAAGTTCTATCAAAAAACATGTAATATTTATGTTTAATACTATATTAATATTATATTATAAAAATATAAAACTAATCATTTTAATCGCAGATCTATGGAGAATATTAAAAGGTTTCAGTGTTTTACGCCCCCGTCCAGCAGGGGGCGGCAGGGCGCCGTTTCCCTGGCAACCAATTGAGGAGCAGGAGAAGAAGAAGCCGAAGGCGGCAGAACCAAACAGACATGGCCCAGCAGAGCGACTCCTACTCCGCCTGCAAGCGGCCCTCCGACACCGTCCGGCTGAAGAGGAAAAGAGCCCGAAATGCAGCGGAGAGTCCCGCGGAGAGCGGCTCTTCTCCGGCCTCTGCTCCAGGTCCCCACGGCGGCTCCAGGAGCAGAGGCAGCCGCAGGAACCCCTTCGTGACGTGGGAGACCGCGCTCAGCCGCCCCACGAAGGTCTTAGTGGTGGAGGAGGACCGGGGGGACCGGGAGGAGAGGTCCGCTCTGCTGAGGCTGATGGCCGCGGAGAGGACAGCGGGGGACCGGCCACCCGGAGCCCGCGGCGCTCAGGTACCGACCGTCTGCGGGTCATAGAAGCCTCATTGGACGCTGGCTGACGGACCTAGAGAGCGGCCATCTTGGATCAGACCACCGTTCAGACAGGCGCTGTCAGAACCACGGTCTGACCCAAGATGGCCGCCCTCTATGCAAGTAGAACCATCAGTGCCGGCCCCAGCCTCTTGGGGGCCCTAAGCAGCCCCCCCACTAGAATATTACTGACACAGATATCACACTCTGATGATAGAGGCAATAATACACCAAGTAAATAAACACAATACTTTGTTTTATTAAAACTTGAATACAATCAAATGTTAAATGTTCTACATTTAAAATAAAACCAAAAAAGAAAAACATTAATAATTATAATCAAAACTAGAATGTTAAAAAAAAAAAAAAGACACTTAAATAATGAAAGCAAACATAAGAACAGCTAGGGTTAATCTGAGCTTAAAGAGCTGCTCTCTGCTGAGGCACCTGTCCTGTCAGGCAGAGACCTGACAGCTACCCAGAGATCTGGCTAAAGCTCCACATCTAGTTTTGGCAGAGCTATGTCAGAAAGACTCTAATGCCAGATCGCTTCCATCAGCAATGTTAAGGTGTCTCTAATCGGCGCTGGCCCTGTTCTCTGTCCTTTCTGAGTCTCAGAGGAACCCTGACCATTCAGCTGGGTCAGTTGGAGGCACTGTTGATCCATCTGGATAGCTGGAGCCTGATGAGGGAGTGGATGGGAAATCCTCAGCAGTGGATGCAGATGTAGAAGGACCTGTAGGGATTAAATAGAAAAAGAATAAAATAACAGCACAGTTTATAGCTAAAGCCAAACTAAAACCTTTAGATTAACAGAGCTGTGTTATGTAAAATAATATCCTGCAGATAGTGAATAAACGATGAACTAGAACTGGAGTTATAGTTAATTAACTTATTCACAATCAGAGGTGAAATCAATTTAGTGTTCTTAGTTGAATGAGATTGTCCAGGATCGGCCAGATGTTAATACTTTCACTAATGTCTGTTAGAACAGCAGTAACATTAAATCAACATCAATACATTCAGCTTAGATGATAAATGGTTAAAATGGATTAACAGCTGAAAATGGTCAGCAACCAGGAGGGGCGGGGCGGTGTGTTCTCTTTTCATACCATGAAAGGGGGGGGCAGCATGTGTGACCACGGCGGTTAAATGAGAGTGAAACTACCTTAAAGCAGAAAGATAAGGAAAGCAGGAAAGGAAGGAAAGCAGGAAAGGAAGAAATGAAGGAAAGAAGGAAAGGAAGGAAAGGAAGGAAATGAAGGAAAGAAGGAAAGCAGGAAACGAAGGAAAGCAGGAAACGAAGGAAAGGAAGGAAAGCAGGAAATTAAGGAAAGGAAAGCAGGAAAGGAAGGAAAGAAGGAAATTAAGGAATAAAGGAAAGCAGGAAATGAAGGAAAGGAAGGAAAGCAGGACAGGAAGGAAAGCAGGAAAGAAAGGAAAGGAAGGAAAGCAGGGAAAGAAGGAAATTAAGGAAAGGAAGGAAATGAAGGAAAGCAGGAAAGGAAGGAAAGCGTGAAAGGAAGGAAATGAAGGAAAGGAAGGAAATGAAGGAAGGAAGAACAGCAGGAAAGGAAGGAAAGCGGGAAAGGAAGGAAATGAAGGAAAGGAAGTAAAGCAGGAAAGGAAGGAAATGAAGGAAGGAAGGACAGCAGGAAAGGAAGGAAAGCAGGAAAAGAAGGAAAGGAAGGAAAGCAGGAAAGGAAGGAAATGAAGGAAATGAAGGAAAGAAAGGAAAACGGGAAAGGAAGGAAAGCAGGAAAGGAAGGAAAGGAATCTCACTGTCAGATTTTCACACTTCCATAGGAAAGGAAGGAAAGGAATCTCACTGTCAGATTTTCACACTTCCATTAAAGCAGAGTTCTTCTAACATGTCGCGTTTAAGGAATTCTTCACGGAGGCTAAATATTGCGATATTATTGCACCATCTGTTTTTCTTTTTTCTAATCTATTGATTTCTCAGATGTGTTTATATATAGTTAAATTACCAACTATGTGGCAACATTTCCTTTGAAACATGGAGCTTAAACATTAAAAAGGTTATAAAAAAGACACTTTAATGAATGCAGATCAGAGGGCAGTGATGACACAGATAGGCCTCATTTCTCCCACTGAACTTAACAAAAACAACATTTAAAGGAAGGCTGAACTTTAAAAGGCAAATTTGACTGCAGCGTCTTTAATTAAAGAATTAAAGATGCGTGCCATTTTGTTCTGTTTTTTAACTTCAGTACGCCTTTACAAAAGGCGCCATAATTCTTAACTGACACACAAACAAATGACGGTGATTTAAAGCTCAGCCACTGGTTGCTGCCACATTGCAGCAATGCGTCTGCTGCAGCAAACACACCATGAATAATAGGGCTGTAAATCACACAGGAGGGTTTAGCGCCACCGCAGCATGGGAGGGAGAATTACACCCAGGAGCAAATGGATAAAAATAGACCGGAGGAAAAAAACATGAATGGATTCTCTTGCATCGGATCGTCGGCTGTTGGATCGATACAAAACCATTATCATAATCATGCAAACAGACCTTTATCTTGCTCCTTTTCTCCTCCCCTCTCTTAAATGTTAGAAGTGTAAATCTACAGTATTTTTTACTATTTTTTAAGGCTGCACTTTTAAAAGATGAAATTGTTCAGTGAGCTGTTTCTAAACGAATTTTCTTTCTGTCTTACACTTTGTTGAAAACCGTCATGGCTTCCCCGGGTCCGTTGATTGGAGCGCAGGTCTATTAGATGGAGTGTTACAAAAAATGGTGGACAATAAAGCTTCTATTCGCCTTTTGCAAAAGGTAGAGACCCCCCCTGCAGCTTAAACATATATATATTTATTCAACTTGTGTAAACAAAATGACAAATAAAATCTGTCTAAAGTCTAAAACTTGTACGGCTGTTATGCTAAAACTTGTGCAGCTAGTATTGCTAACCTAGCATGCTACCTTGAAAGCCACACTAGTGATGTAGTTTATTTGCAGGTGAATTCGATGGCCACTTTTAAATCTTGCTAGCCCTCCAACACTACCAACAATATTTTTAGGAAATGATAGCTTTATTTTATTCACTTTAGATAAAATATTATTGATTCTCTGCTTTTTAAATGCCATAAAAATGTTTTGAAATAAGTTAAAAATATTATTTTATGAACGTCTCTTCATTAACAGCCCCACAGCTCCATCTGGTGGCGAAACGAGAAACATACCTCCCGTATAATAATTACTGCCATTACTCTCCGTCTGTTACTCAGGACTCCTGTTGGCTGGGTAATGCGCACCGCTGGGCGTTCAGTGGAAACGCTTCAACGAAAAGAAACCTGCTGAAGTAGCTAAACGCGAACAAAGACTAGCGAATCTTAACTAGTGCACCAGAGCTCCCCCTGCTGGACAGTGAAGGTATTTCTGTTCTCTTCCAGCTGTGCATTAAATCCCTGCTTGTTCTGTCGTAGAAAAGCCTCCCTGAAGACGTTTCTCTGCTGGAAACCCAGGAGCCAGATGTTCTGCTGTCGGAGGTGAACTTTTCTTCCGAGTTCGCTGTCAGAATCATGGCTGAACGGAGCTCATATGTCGCCGTTTGTGTTTCAGAAGCTGCCGGCCAGTCCTCCCAGCAGCTGTGCGGAGTATCCGACCGACTGGAGCCTGAAAACCCGGGCGCTCTTCACCTCCCCGCTGTCGTTGTCGTGGACGGAGCAGCCGAAGGCCCAGGAGGAGGCGGCGGGCCTCAGCAACAGCTGCAGAGCTCGGTTTGACGCTCTGCCGGAGGATCTGGAGGTAGCTTGACTCCAAGATGGCTGAATTAACAACACGGATCGCTGATTGAAAGGGTCATTAGCTCAGAAAGCATTCAGGTTCTCCTTAGAGGCGAGCTCAGAGCTAAACCCAGAAATACTCCGTCATCTACCATCAGGAGGCGCTCTCTGACATTGGATATGGAGTGAAAATGTATCCAAACTTCCCGTGGTTACCGTTAGAAAACCTGTTGTAAAAGTGTTGTAAATTTCATCAACCTAAACCCATAATGATCATCAAAATTCAATTATTATGGATCTTTGCAGCTTCTGGCTACGGAGCCTTAAAGGGGACAAAAGTAGATACCTTTAAATAAATAAATTAAATGTCCCATTACATAATTATATAAACTATTTTATAAATGCAGAATCGAATAATTAAATGTGAAATTAACTTAAATATAAGTACACTCCTAAAACAAAATTAAAGGAATGCTTAAGCTAGGGCTGGGAATTTAATTGCATTAGCAATATAATCCCAATTTAAGAAATCGCCATTTAGAAATCGCAGAGGCACAAAATTTTTGGTTAATTTAACAAGAATAAGATAATTTTTTTCTCGCTCCAGCTCTTTATGTGACTGTCGTACGTTTAAATTGGATTTGCTGCCACAACAGAGGAAAGGGAAGCTTCCAACTAGCACTCCGATCTACGCTAGCAAGTAGACGTTGGCTCTTTTTTCAAACAAAGCTTAAAATTGATTTGCGCAAAAACAGTCTTTGGACGAGCAAGCTTTCAAGTTCATTAAAAACTGAAGCACTGAAGGGAAACATCATGC